TGTGGACATGCTGGCCTATGGCTTGAGTCCAAGGCTCTAAGCAAGACAAGCATTCATCAACTGGACTGGTCTTTCTGCCCCAGTGGCTGCGTTGTTGTGGAGTTAAGCAAGCACACAATTCAGGGAAGAACATGAGGACATGAGGTACTACTGCCCAGTACAAGGCTTGGTGGCCAAGTCCTGATGACAGGAGATACCTCTGGAGAGCTGAAGGTACCATGGTACTGTCTCCAAAGTTTGGAGGTGTTGGTATAGCACATGCCAAGGGCTGATTGTCTTCCTCTGTCAGCAAGTTGTGCCACAGAGAAAGTGCCCTGGACACTGACAGAATCCTCAACAGCACAGAGAGGAGGAATGTCACCCCTATGTCCTGGAGGGCAGCTGGAACAAGTGGTGTATTACCAGCATGTGGTCTGTGGCATGGGCTGTGAACACTGGAAAGTACGTTGTGTTGTTACATACCAGAAACATTAAATGCTTGTTGTAGCTGCCTTTTACACTTCTAGGGAGAAGAGATTGCTCATTTGACTGGACTATGTTGTACTTGATTAACATACCACTGAATACAGCCTACCCTGTTCGCTGAAATGAATGTAAATTTAATTATAAATGTCTTTTTGTTTCTTTGTGGACAGAGGGTGCTATTTTACTTCTTGCTGTAGGTTATTTGCTCTCTTCCTTATACTTCAGAAGTACCTTTTGGCATGGCTACAGCTTCATGTTTCCTTACAGCTAAATGGATATCTGATATTTGAGCAAAACCAGAGCTTTGGTAAGTGCACAAAGAAGAAAAAGGACCTGAACAGCATTAAGAGGGCACTTGTGCACCAATAAAGAAGGAGAGTTCAAATTGTGAAATGTAGAGGATCAATAAAGGTAGGTATCCCCAGCACGTCCCTCTCCTGTCCCCCAGTGCCTCCTCCTCCTGTGTCTGTGGGCAGAGAGCTCTTTGCCCTTCAGATTTGCCCCACTCAGAATATGCCAAGAACTGCAGTTTCTTGACTAAGCAGTTCAAGAGGGACTGGATCTGTGTGTCTCCAGCAGGTATTCGAAGCCAGAGTTGCACTGAAGAGGTCTGGATTACTCTCTGGAAGAGTTTCCTCTCCGTAGCAGTCCAGTGAAGATGCAGACACAGCCTTCTGGTTTGACTTGTCATCTGGAAAGGCTGCAAATCAGGGGCCTTGCCTGGTGTTTCAGGGAAGTGGTGGCAAAGGCAGAGCTCTGAACAAGATCTTGCCTTTCCTTCACTGCCTTTCTCTTGCTCTCTGAAGTACCTGACTCAACCATGCACCTTCAGTGCTTGCAAAAACCAAGTCAGAGACCCAAGTGGTCCAAGCTGCCTTCCCCACACTCCTCTGCCTATCTCAGGGAAGCAGCCAGGTGAGATTGGCAGATAACTAATAGAAGTATCCAGCCAAGGTGCCTGGCCAAGGCAGTGTGTGTTTCAGCTCCAGCTGCAAGAATCACACAAAAATCTCCTTGTGAAGCCCCTCAGTGATGCTTGGTTTTGTCCCACCATGTTGCCCTGGATAATACACAGCCCTGTAGGTGCATGCTGATGCTGAGGGCTTCACCTAGGCAGTGCTATGGAATGGGGAAGAGAAGGGCTTTCAGACAGGCTATAATTCAGGTTTGTCTTGATTATTCTCCTTTGGAGAGTGCCAAAACAGTCTGTCCTGTTAAGATGAGAAGCCCAGAGCAGTGGGTGCTTGTGCCAGGTGGACGGGACCAGGACCCAGAAGCAATTCTGAAGCGCCCTTATCCAACTGTTTTCCCTAATGTTTTATTTGCTTTGCTGGTTGGTGATGTTTTAGAGCATTTCCCCAGCTCTTTCTGCCTTGTGTGTGCTCAGCTGAAAGGGGCACCACACAGAGCAGCACACTTTCCCTGGGCTCTCTGGGCATGATTTGGCTCAGTACTGGAGGCATTAGGCTATATAAGTGCAGTGTCCTTCACAGACTGACCCACTGTCCTCTCCAGGATACTGGATTAGTGCACAGGATGTGTTGTGGTGGTACAGCTATAGAATATCTAAACTAACTCTGAAAATCTAGCTGCTTAATCTAACAAGAAATTGGTCTGATTTCTTCTTGCCTCTAATAAGAATATGAGAAAAAAAAAAAAAAGCAGTTGACTGTCTTTTGTGTATTATAGGAGTTATTATGTTTCCCTTCAGCCTTCTCATTTCTAGTTTAAATAAACTTAGTTATTCAGCTTTTCCTCGAAGGTCATGTCTCTTGCCACTTAGGTGGCACCTCCTGAGATGCTGAACTCCAATCAAGGACTTGCTGACAGTGAGTTGAGTGGAGTAATTTCCTCCCATCTTACAGATCTCACCAACCTCTTTTTACTGTGGCTCAGAATGACAGTCACACTTTTGGCAAGAGGAAACACAACCTGCAGTTGGCTACATCTCTTTCTCTGTCATACACCTGCTTGGCCACTACTTCTGCATTTTGTTCATGCTTCCTCCAGCTACTAAGTGCAGCATTTTCCTGAATTTCATATGGTCATTTCAGCCTATCAGGCTAGGATCTCAAAATCTTGCTACATTGTTTCTTTTCTTTAAAGCAGGCACTTCCATCAGCTCAGTGTCATGAACACCTTTGACTTGTCCTATCCATCCTGTTATCCAAGCTGCTAACAAGAACATGAATATTTTGTGTGACAGGATGGGCAGTGAACCTCCTACTTTGGGTCCAACCCTTCAGCCCATCATAGAAAAATCCTATTTCTCAGTATCTTTGTATCTCAGGAGGAGCTCTGTCAAAAGCCTAAATGTGCCACATTAACAGCTTGTCTCTTGTTCCCTGCAGCATCTCCCTGGCATGGAGGAAATTCTCTTAGTTTGATAGGATCTCCCTGTACCGGATCTATGTTAGTTACTCCTTATCACAGAATCACAGAATCCTAGGGGTTGGAAGGGACCTCAAAAGATCATCTAGTCCAACCCCTCTGCCAGAGAAAGATCACCTAGAGCACATCACACAGGAACGTGTCCAGGTGGGTTTGAATGTCTCCAGTGAAGGAGACTCCACAACCTCTCTGGGCAGCCTGTTCCAGGGCTCTGTCACTCTCACAGCAAAGAAGTCTTTTCTGATGTTTATGTGGAACCTCCTATGTTCCAGTTTGCACCCATTGACCCTTGTCTTGTACTGGACATCACTGAAAAAAGCCTGGCTCCATCCTCTTGACACTCACCCTTAATGTATTTGTAAACACTGATGAGGTCTCTCCTCAGTCTGCTCTTCTCCAAGATAAAGAGACTCAGCTCCCTCAGCGTTTCCTCATCAGGGAGATGTTCCACTCCCTCCATCATTTCTGCGGCTCTGCACTGGACTCTTTCAAGCAGTTCCCTGTCCTTCTTGAACTGAGGGGCCCAGAACTGGACACAATACTCCAGATGCGGCCTCACCAATGCAGAATAGAGAGGAAGGAGAACCTCCCTTGACCTACTAACCACACCCTTTCTAATGCACCCCAGGATGCCATTGGCTTTCTTGGCTACAAAGGCACATTGCTGGCTCATGGTCATCCTCCTGTCAGAGTTATCTGAGGGTCAGACTTTTCTTATCTGTCAGACTTACCTTATCTGCAGACTTACTGAGGGTGCACTCTATCTCCTCATCCAAATCAGCAGGTGCTTCTCTCAGACGTGCTGCAGGTGGTCCCTGGTACTAACATGGCTGCTCTGGGTCTGCTGTGCATGGGGCTGTGGCACTGCCCCACCTTCTCCTTGCCTTGTGCCTCAATTTCCCTCCCAGTCCTGAGCAGAGTCACCTCCCCTGCAGGGGACTGCAGGTGCCCTCCCTCTGTTGCTGCAGCTCAGCTCCAGACAGTCCCACCTCACAGCCAAGCTGGAAGGCAGAGCAGCACACTGCTTACATAAGCCAGGCATTTCAGGGCTTCACACGTGAGGGTGGATTTTCTTCCCTCTCCTGGGAGCCTAATAAGAAGCGTGTGCACTGTGAGGCTTTCAAAGGCAGCAAGTAGGACTGTGATGAGAGCTGACTTCAACACTGGCCTGAGTTCAAGCCAGTAACTGCACTCAAGGTTGCTTGACTCCAGCAACAAGGGTATCTAGGACTGAAAACAACGTGGGCAGATGGAGGAAAAGCTTTGGAAGGATCACTGTGTGCTCCTCAACGAAGGTGAAGAAAATGAGCTGGTAAGGAGTGGGGGACTGCGCTGGGTTTTGGTTTCCTTGTTCATCTCTTGCCACGTGCCCATTTTGGATATGCCTCTGGTTCTTCTTCACCCTCACTCCTCATTCAGGCACTGTCTCTTCAACATAGCTTTGGTGAAGGAAAAACCCTGGCTCAGTTATTTCTGACTTTGAGACTGATTTTTGCAAAGTAAGGGCTAAGTGAAGAACATACTAATTCAGTCCACAGGCACAAAATACAGAAGAGACCACTTCACCCAGCAGAAGTCACCTAGCCAGGGAGCAGTGTCCCTTTACTCATTGTCTGTTTCGTTGTCTTTTCCAACTTCATTGTGAGGATGTCTACTAATGGGTACAATTTCCCTTGCTGGGTAATCATGTATCTGAAAGCAAGACACAGGGAAAGTGCTTCAAATGAATTTTATCTCAGACAGTTGTCTGAAGTAGTGATTAAATCACGTCTCCTGAAATGTCTTTGCTGCTTTCCAGGTCTAGGAAGACTGGGCAGATGACCAGTTTACTGCAGCTCTCATGGCAGGAATCTTGTTTCTCAGTCTTTTGCAGCAGCTTTTATGGAGCTACTCTGTCCTTACAAGGGTTTTTTATTAATGTTAATTGAATCTACTTTCTGTCTTTGCCTGTGATTGATTATTGATTATGTGCAACAGCCTGGAAGGTCTGCACTAAGTGAGCATTTATCAAACACAATGAACTGGAAACTCTTCCTCTACCTGCTATCATGGAGTGATTACACAGAGTCTGGTGAGGGTGGGAGCAAAACTTTCTCCTCTGGCTTTCTGTGCCAAGCATACCTGGAATCCAGATATTTCCAGTGCATGGAGTGGGAACAGAAGTAGATGCTTCTGCACAGGTGTAAAATATAGTCCTGACACTCCTGCATTTGCTAGAGATCTGCATGTGCTGTGTGCACTGGAAGCACAGCAGCATGTTCCCCCAAGACAGGAGTTTCTATCCTCTGTAAGCACAGGCTGCCAGTCAGAGCTTCCCAGCATCTCTGGTGCCACTGTTTGCCCAACCTTGGGGACAGAGAAAGTATCTCCATCATGGGCATGCCAGTGCTCAGGGCACACACAGGTGGAAGAGACTCTGTACTGTGGAGCATACTTGCACCTCTGGATCAGGATTGCTTGCAGGGTTACTAATAGAGGTGGAGCTTCAGCTTCCTTGGGTTGCCTTTAGTAAATTCCTG